GCAGGCAGAGACACGCAGAAAGACAAGGCTTGGAGAGCTTGTTTCTGGAAGAAAAAAAAAAAAAAAAGCTAATTTGTGTATTTTTACAGGTAGAGAATGACACAAACAAGTAAACTTAATCCTAGAATCATTTTTCTCTCTCTCTCTTAGTATTGTCTTTGTATGCCTGTATAGTTGATGTTGCAATCATGGCTTTTTTCTGGAGGATTACCTGTGGTGTGCATTGTTCTTATATGAAATTATATGATATATATTTTTAAGTTTGTTTTCTTGTTTTCTATTTTTTCTCTTACTGTGACAGTATCTCTGTATGTGACTGTCTCACTATGCACCCAAACGGCTTCAATCTTGTAACTGCCTGCTTGATTGTGGGATGGGACTGGGAACTAATATAATATGCATATTAGTGACTTGACAAAAATTGATTGACACCAATGGAAACAGATTTATGGTTACAGGGGGGGGGATACACATAAATAAACTCACAACTTCCATAAGGATGTGTTGTCTTTTCATGGATGAATGGATAGATAGTCCAAAATGTTGCTAAATGGCACTGGTTGTGCCAATCCTGTGCTTTCACTGTTTGATAAAATTGGCATTAAATTCAGAAGTTTAAGGGACCATTATTTTAGGGATGCAACAAAAAAAAATGCTCACCAAGTTTAAAGAGTTTAAAGACTTAAATGCAGGGCAAAGTATTGTGCTGAGTTCTGCATGCACCCCAAGTAACGAAATAACCTAATATTCTATGTGGGTTTCATTAATGGTGATAGATTATTCTAAGTATATATTTTATGAACGTTTAGAGTCATCAATATTTTATTAAACTTAGCATTCCTTGAGATTCAGCAGAATGTGGTGATAACCGCATTTGATCAATGTGCACAGCAAAGTGTCTGAAAAGGACCTGAAGAGGTGGATGCTTATTCTGCAGAATTTGTGTCAGGCTACCTGCCGAGATTTGCATCCACCTGTTTTCTCAGCATACAGCACAATGTTACCTCCTGCGAGGTGCATGCATAACACCGGGCAAAAAAATGATAACGATAGCCTAAATGTTTTATTGAGAACAGGGGAATGATTTTGGAAGGAAAGCTGAGGTTTGAGACCCGGAGTTGGCAGGTCATGTGTCCGTAATAGCGGAGAAAACGGGGTGAGCAGTGGAGAATGAAGGGAAGTAAATGAGTAGCAGGCGATAATAGGGCCTACTGATGCACAAAGAACAGGTTCGAGAGAAAACACACAACCTACAGAGTCAGAAAACTAACGCTCGCTGAGTTATGGCCGTGAAAAACATAAGCACCGAGGTTGAAACAATCTGGTGGTGAGTGAACGAGAAGCGCGAGTAGTTTAACAGCAGGTTGAACTGGGCGGGATGATTATTTAATACTGTGTAGATGCCGCTGAGCCAGGGAGGAAGAGACAACAACCACACCCACGCCAACGGACCCACGGGCAGACAAGTGAAAACCGGAAAAGCAAGGAAGCAGAGTGACATCTGAACCAGCGTTATTTTTACCTACTCGAGTCTCAAAAGACACCAGGGCCGAGTTCAGCCGTGACAAAACAAAGCGTTTAAATTGTAACGGTGGTGCCGTACATCCTGTTGTGTAGGCTACGCAAGCGCACTTTAGCCTACTTTACTGGCTTTGGTGTTTATACCCGTCGTTGCTAGTTAGGTAAAACCTCTGACACACCCAACCAGCCAGAGAAACCCATGGAGAAAGCGTAGGCTTATAGCTCGATGCGCACCGTTTCGAGGAAACCGGCGCGAGACGTTTTGAGACTGAACTCGCCCCTGTAGGGTTGGCCAACACCTGTACTCCTCCTCCTCTCTCCAATTATAGGTGTTGGGAATTGGGGACAGACTTTTTTCCCGGGGGGGGCAGCCTGTGATTCTTACTGCTGAATCATTAATAGCTGCAGCATGTTTGTCTTATTATATTATTATCATTTGTAGCCATTTTGCTACAATTAAACTTAAAAAAAAACAGCTGCAACTGTGCAACCTGACCTCTCTTTTCTCCGTGAGAGGGAAGAATTTAGAAATTTGCGTGTCGGTCCGAACCGGAGAGGGAGCGGGGCGGACAAGGGAGATCGCGGAGCGACTGGCCCGCTCCGGATGGTCAGGTGATAGTGTCGATGAAGTCTGATGCTCCTGATTTAACATGGATTCATGATGACGACGCTGAAGTTAGCTTCCGATTCGGCAGTTAAGGGGAAAGTTAAGGGGAACTTAAGTGAAGTGAACTTACTGCTGCGAAAGCTGTTATACGTTTTAGGCAAAGCCTTAACGCTCTCTGAAAAACTTTTTTAGATTTGAAAAAACGATATTTTATTTGTGAAAATGAAAAAAGGGCAATTTGACTGCTTTTCCTCCACATGCAGACCACATTAGACCAGGTCCAGATCCAAAACCACAGGGCTTCGGAGATCTCAAATCTGGACTAAATTGTCCCAGAGAGGCTAAAATTTGTTTTAAACATAGTTTCAGATTTGTGAAACCTTTATTCAATTTGTGAAAATACTATAAAGGGCAATTTCATTGCTTTTTCCATGTGTAGACCGCATTAGACCAGGTCCAGATCCAAAACCACTTTACCTAGAACTCTCACATGTAGACTAGATTGTCCCAGAGAGGCTAAGGTTTCTTTTAAACATAGTTTCAGATTTGTGAAACCTTTATTCAATTTGTGAAAATACTATAAATTTCGCTAAGTTGGGCTACTGCAAAAACTTTGTAATGTACCATGAAGTAGACTTGGCTGCCCGTGCTAAAAACAGCCGATCTTATGTCCTTCTACTTGTGATGCATTCAGTCAATGTCGGCAGTAATGGACACAACCGCAAAAACACTCCATGGTTGAGGCATTGTTGGCATAAGGTTATTAGCTATAATGCTAACCTTATAGTCACATTAAATAAACATCATAAATTAGCTCCATTTGTAGTGCTATGTATTTTTTGTAGTTTGTTACAGAGTGAAACCAGATTAAACCAAACTTTTTACCTAGAGCTAAAAAATTAGCAGAATCAATGCATTAATGTGTTAATATTGGGTTTTATTTGGATGTAACTGAGAGTGGAGATTCTGCAATCTGTCTGTGGATGCCTGTAGTTGATGTCTATAGTTAGTATATAGTAAATACGTAATATATAAACACATCATAAACATAATCAGAGGTGAAATAATTATTCAGATCAGTAAATGTACTACCACACTGTACACAATGTACTCAGTTACATGCCATTACAGTAATCAATGCATTTGTAGCTCTAAGTGTTTAACTATGTGTTTAATATGTTCTTATTTATTTGCATAATGAAACTTTGACAGACTCAGAGACTCAAAATGCAGGATAATTACAGAGTTTACTATGTCAACAGAGATAACACGAGACCGTTTAAACAGATACAGGGTTATGGCAGACAGGAAAAGGCTAAAAACTGGAATACTTAATAAAAAACAACACATATCCTGCCCCCTACTCCGACTCTGATTGGCAAAGGAAAGGAGAGTTGTCGAAAGGCTGCAAGACCAGGTCCCTTGGTGTGAAAAAGCATTGAATTATCACCCTTTTTTCATTTTCACAAACAGAATAAATTTTTCCCAAAACTTAAAACCAAGTTTTAAAGAAACTTTAGCCTCTCTGGGACAATGTAGTCCAGATTTGAGAACTCTGGTGATCTGGACCTGATCTAATGTGGTCTACACGTGAAGCAAGTATTTTCACAAATTGAATAAAGGTTTCACAAATCTGAAACTGTGTTTGAAACCTTAGAGACTGTGGAACAATCTAGTCCAGATTTGAGAGATCTAGGTAGCCTACAGGGGTTTTTGATCTGGCCCTGGTCTAATGTGGTCTACATACGAACAAAGCAATGAAATCGTCCTTTAAAGCAAACGAATAACAGCTTTCACAGCAGTAAGAGGTGCAAAAAATGGAGAATCAGTCGCTCAGCAACGTAAGTTAATTTTCACTTAAGTTCCCCTTAACTGCCGAATCGGAAACTAACTTCAGCGTCGTTCCTGATGATAGAGAAGTATAGAGATTAATGGCAATAAAGCATGCTGTCAATATTTTAGAGACCCCCCAAAATATCATAAATCATGCTTTTAGGGGAGCTGATGTCTTATTAAGGGGAGCTAAACTTGGTGAGGAACCCTAATAAATCAGGTATTAATCCCTATGTTTTCCCTCTAGGCATGAACACCACAGGGCAACACCATGGATCTCCCTAATAACAAAAGTAGCCTAATTATTATTATATTTAGGAACACAACCAAAGAAGACAATGAGGTGCCTACTTGCCAATTAGAGGCAGAGTAAGGCGGTTTATGTCTTCTGTCATGGGGGGGGGGGGGGATTGCAAACGCTCACATCCTTTTCAGACCCTGGAAACACTGACATAGGCCTACTGCACAGCCAGCCCTACTATCACTGTAGGCTATAACTACTATAGACTGTACCAAAGCATGATGACTATTTAAATAGCTTCATTTGTCAAAACTCAAAATTAAATAGTCGATCAAAGAAGAACAAAGAAAACAGCAAACAGAGAAACTGGAATCTTTTAGACAATTTCTTCTTAGTTATTTTTTTCTCATATCAAAATAGTTGCCAATTAAGTTGCTGTTGATCAGTTAGGCTAATTAACTAATGGTTTTAGCTCTGAATTATTTTAGGGTGTTTTTTTAAATAGTAGCCTGGGCTAAATAGCCTATAGCTGCCTAGAGTTGCATCAATCCGCAGGTGTTTAGCTGATTCAAATAGAGTCTACAAATTGGAAATGTTGACTCATTGCATACCCGAATTAGGTGACTTTCCGTTTCGGGAACATGAGTTTTCAAACAGAAACGTTTAGCTCCTCGGATGGATGAGGGGGAGGAAATGAAGGTGATTCAGCACAAGTGAGTCATTTACATGACTGGGTAAGATCACATGACTGATTGTCCGCAGCTGCTTCAAAAACACTAATACAACACATTTTTAACTCAGCACTTTCTATGTTATAATCGAGTTAATTGTGCGGTTTATTTCTTTGACTACTTTTCTGTAGTCGCTTACCATGAAAGGGCATTCAAAAATAGTTAGTAGCCTTACTCACCTACAGCAGGTAAACAGGAAGTCGCTACAGTCGCAGGGGAGACACGCCCGCCGATACTAAACTCCCGGAAAAGGTCTGTTATGCTCCATTGGAGTCATATAGACAGGCGACCTATACTAATCGGATATACATTTGTGACCGGAGAGGAGAATTCTTTTCAAAACACTAGAAGACATTTTTCTTTTCATTCATTCTTCACCTGATTCTTGTAGCCTATAGACTTTTTTTTGCGCACAGGTTGAATTCGTTGACAAACAAGATAGGCATCACTTAGCGACCAGGCCTGCAGGTTCACCTCGACGAACAGCCAGTGGACAGCTACTGTAAATCAACGAATTAATCAAAAAGAGAAAAGAAAGAAGCAGTTAAGGTGTTTGAGGGCGTTTTGGTTTTAGATTTCTAACAGCCTATCCAGGCATTGACCCCTGATGGACTACATGGACAGTGGACTGAGATACACCCCTCAATCGGTAAGAAACTGTATGTTCTGTACAGCCTACACAAGGCCTAGGCCAGTAGCCTGTTAAATGTTGATTAGATGTTTGTGTATTATGGCAGAGGGTTGGTGTTACCTAACCTGAATGACTCTGATGTTGATGTCACCTCTTTCCTAATATTGGTGCATAGGGGCCTGGGCTATTTGTGGAACAGTGAGGAGCATCAGGCGGGAAGTGAAAAGTGCTGCAGATACAAACTTTAAATAATCAAATAAGTGTAGGCTATAGGTAAATCAAAGTACCTACGGGGTGACCTTAACCACTCTTATCACCAACACACTTGTTTACCTAAAACATGCGAGTGAAAAAGAAATCTAGTGCTTAGAGGCTGAGAAAATCAGCTTTCATTTTAGTAGCGCTGAGATCTAAAAGTGGCTGATTGTTTGTCACTAGTGGTTCAGCGGCATATGCCAATCCCTAGACTGGTATGCCGCTTAATTTCTTTGCCAAGCTTCTTAACTTTGGTGTTTTTGGAAGATCAAGATAAACTTGTTATTCCCATATAAAAAGCCCCAAATGTCACATTTTAGATTCACGAAAGCGCAAATAGGCCTACCCCTTCTGAGGCTGCACAATCCACAAAATTGTTATTTTGATACATGAATATCTCCAAGCTGGATAAGGATTAATCTAGAATTTTTAATAGACAGTTATAGGATAAATATGGCAGATCATTCTTTTTTTGTTGTTGTTTTCTATTCAGGTGGGAGCAGTACCTAGTATATGAGAAAATAGGTGAAATCATAATCATAATCATTACCTTTTGTAAAATCTTGGCTAGATGTCTTACTAACAAACACGCCCAAACAGGTTGCTAGCTCCTTTTCTTAGGTACCTTGTTTCCAAGAAGTGGAGACAATGATATAATGTATGGACGTCTTCTCACGTGCATTATGAAGTAGATAATACACCAAAACCTTTCAACCTCAAAACCAACTCAAAACTTTGGATAAACCCTTTTCAAAATTTGGATTTTAAAGTGTATCTCATTGGGATGATTGCCGTGAAACATTTGGATGTCATGAAACCTCACTGAGCTTCATCAGTGAAGATTCTTAGAAAGCAGGCAGCCATTGTGAATTCCTCAAAGCTCTGCCCTGCTGCGACTTGTTCACTCAAGTCTCTTCTGTGGGGTAAAATCTTTTCAAAACTACTCCACATTATCCTCCAGGGCACAATAGAGCAGATCTGAGGACTATTCATCAGCAAGTTGTTGTGTTAAGCATGTTTTGGTCGTTAACAATGACACTGGGTGAGGCCGTTTTAAACATGATGATTATTATTAGACATGATGTGTATTAAGATTTACATTTCGGAAAATAAGCTAATTGCTGTTAAACACAGACAAATGAGGTACTTGACATTTTAAGGAATATCATTTGAATATGTGAGTTTTTTATTATATAGTTGTTGTTTTTTTTTATAATGATATTGATTGAACCATATAGATACTGAGAAATTGGTTAAGTTCACTAACGATTTACCATTATTAACGGTTAATATTTCTTGTTCAACTTCATTTGCAGAGTTATAAGTTCTGCTTATTTTGAAAAAGATTTGTAAACTTTGAAGACTTCCTCTTATTTATAAGGAGATAGGGCGTCTTAATTTTCTTTATTAATGTGCGATATAGCAGATGACAATAACATCATTTTTGAGTTTTCAGGGCTTCCGCTGGATGCACTGAGCAAAGATACTAATACCAACTTCACTTAATATTCCACTACAAATAAAAGTTCTGTATTCTAACTAATTTACTTTAGGTAGTGTGCAGTAAAATTATCCCTTTTTAGGGTTTTACTGTTATATACAATGTTTTTGGATAGATATTACTGTTGCTTTAATGTGTATGTTGCATTTTACTTCAGTGGATGTTTAAGGTTGAGATAACTTTAACTACTCTGAGTAGTTTATTTTCCAGCAATGCATCATATTTTACAATGTTTTGCACTCTTTAAGAATGTAAGGTATGTTATTTTGGACAAAATGTGTATATCGAGATCTATCTATCTATCTATCTATCTATCTATCTATCTATCTATCATATTGCAATTATAAGCTATTCAGAAAAAAAATAAACAGAAATACCGTTAAAAAAATAATTAGGGAATATCTACTCCTCTGCAGTGAGCCTTGGACAATTGGATATATGACAAATGAAAAACCTGCTCTTTCAAAATAGTTCTGTCAAGGCACTGTATTTGAAGGCTGGAGTTGTTTGCCGTGCCCTCATAGGAGCAGTGTAATTAATTCTTGTCATTCATGAGTATCAGGTTATACATGCACAAAGAAATTGTTGCCCTTATTTATAAAATAAGGTTTATAAAACAGTTAATGTCACAGTTCTGCATATGACCTTCCAGTAAGCTCCTTGTAATTGTATAACTGACTGGCACAAAATCATAGGAATGATTTTTTTTTTTTTCATATCATTCCAAAGCTTTGAAGATTATCTCTTGTTGGGTTGTAAAATAGTCCACTTTTCAGGGACCATTTCATATCATATACTACGATACAACGAGCACTCACAGACACTTGTTTTGTTCCACTTCAGATCTGCGAGTGGGTTGCTCCCAGCAGGTTTGACAGCATTTTACATGGTGAAACCTTTGTACTCCCTTCCCCCTCCGTCTTACCTCTTAAAGGTAAATGCAGAGTGTGACTCATACATGGAGTTCCCTTCTAATTCTTTAACAGTGCCAGATGCTGGAACTCTGGGTTTTTTTTGAGCAGATTCTGAATATAATTTTGTTTAGATTTCTTATCCCTTTCAGAACATACAGTAGTGGCAAATTTTCTCTGGTTGAGATCCAAATTCTGTTGGTCACCACAGGCAGGTGAATTCCTACAATACACAAGTAACTTGCTGTCTGCTGCGGTATCTTCAGTTGATCATCTACTCTACTCGGGTAGAAAAAAGACAGCTGCTTCTTGTGTGTCTTAAAGAACAAATGACATCAACCATGTCAGTAAAGAAACATCCCTGCAGATCTATGTCCGCAAATGTCTTCACCTCCTGTGAAATGGTTGGAATTATTATTTGGAGGTTGTTCTTAGCTTAATTAATATGTGCTCTTCAGTTTTATGTATTGATCATTCATTCGCCCTTACAATTGTCTATCCAGGACAAAGACTGGGACACCTCTGTCCAGTTTCTGCCAGCATCAGATAACAAAAGGCTTGAGAAGAAAAAGGGTCCGGGGAAAGTTGGAGCTGTGATCGGTGTGGTGATCTTTGCTGCTGTTATTGCACTTATTACCGGACTGCTGGTCTGGCATTTCCACTGTAAGAACCCCTTCCTTATTATTATTTAGATTGCAAAAGGAGGTAAACTTGAAGTAATCTGATCACAATAAAAAAAACATTTTGCACTAACTCTTAAAACAAACAGAAGGAAATTGAAGTAAACTGAACTCTTTTGCAGTAAGAGTGTGGGACTGTATATTCAGTGTTGTCTGTGTGATCCTGCAGTCCGAAAAGATGCGTGGGTCAAGAGGATGTACAGTGGCTCCATGCGGATCACCAACCAGGCGTTTGATGATGCCTACGAGAACTCCAACAGCTCCGAGTTCAAGGCGCTGTCAAAAAAGGTGGTTTCACAGGTAAGACGGCTGCTCAGGCCTCCACAACTATAGACCATAGTTGTTGTTTTTTTGTCTTTTGTAGCAGCAGTCCTTGATGTTCTGTTGTGTTTTTGCTCTTGTCTATTTCAGCTTAAAGCCATCTATTCCAAAAGTCCACACTTGGCCAAATACTATGTTGGTTCAACAGTTCAGGCTTTCAGGTATGGCAGTGAAGTTTAGTAATAAGGCATTATAATGATAAGCTTTAATTCACTCCTTTATTGTTAACTCTAACAAGAGGGTCTCGTTTTCATTCCTGTTTGTCTTCTGGTGTTTTTGGCTAGCAGTTTATCTCAAACAGATTTAACTGAAAAAAGTTTGTTTTTCTTTGGTGTGGATGCATGCAGATCTGATAGAAACACCATGTATAACACACTCATTTGTAAACATTTTCTATTATTACATTGCATGTTTGCCAGTGCCAGTCTTTTTCTTTGAAGATTTCCAAGCCCAAAAATGAATGAGATTTATTGTTACCCTCAGTTTTTCAGTTCCAGTATTAAGTATTGAATGTAAGACCAATAAGAGTGTTAAATACCAGCACACATGCATTTGTCTCACCCTTTTGGTATAGCGGCCTTTTGGTTGTTACTTTGCCCCACCTCTATACTATTTAATTCTCGTCTCATTGCTCCTAGTGAAGGCAGCGTAATTGCCTACTACCTGTCTGAGTTTAAAGTCCCTGTGGGCCAAGAGGCATCTGTTAACCGCGCGATGTCTACAGTGGACACGCTGGTGGACAAAGAGCGACGAAGCATGGCGAAATCTGGCAACTCTCTGGTCCTTGATGAAGTGGTGACGTCAGGTAGAGTCAAGGCAACTGAAGACCAAACTACTGTTATTCAGACCATATTCATCATCTTGTGGTTGTAGAATCAAGTTATGTCTGGTTGTGTACATACCTCTGTTTTGCTGTCAATATCTTCATTCAAGGTATATCCGTGTTCTCTGTTTTGTTTCATCTCACAGCGCTTGATACCCGCATGCTGTCACCGTCTTTCAGCAGTAAGTGCTCACCTTGCATTTCTCTCATTTAGTTAGTTTATTGTCTGTTGTCACCTATATTACAAAATGTTTCTGGCAATGACAATGAATTATGTAATTTAGGTTCTTCAGAAAATAGCATTCAGACTGGCATGACAAACATGTAGTCTTGTCATATTTGCAGTTTATTTATTTTATTTGCAGTATTTAAATATGCCGTTTGCAGTTGTTTTCCCTAATGAGTTGTAATGAGAAATGAAAGACTTAAGGCTGAAACCGCATGTGAAATGCATGCAAAATATTGTTTCTCTTTATTTGTCAAAATCATTTTAGATTTTTACTTTTAGTCCAATGTTTTCATCATATCCAGAAAATGTAATGTGATTTAGTACAAATATTAGACAGCATTTACAGTTGCATGGTATAATGCAGTTTGGTATTTGCGTAGTAAATATTTGTGATATCAGAATAAGTTTGTAAGGTCATCATAATTTCATTTGCATCGAGAAAAATGGGATACAGCAGTTTCTATGACAGTGATGTAGAAATTTGAATAAATGAATAAATAACACCACTGAAAGTTATTCTTTCTGTCTCAGAAATTTTAAAGTTTTCAGAACATGCAAGGACTGATCAAATAGGACAGATCCAATCCCCAGGCTTCCCTGACAGTCCTTATCCCCCAAACACCTTCATCCAGTGGCAGCTGAGGGCAGACCCTAACTATGTCATCAAGCTTGACTTTGATAAGATTCATCTGGAAGCGAATTGCAAGAATGACTTTGTCAAAATCTACGACTCCCTGGTGGCCCTTGAGAGTCGCGTTATGGAAGAGTGAGTTCACCCTTTGCCTCTTCTAAATACAACTTTATGCAGATAACTAACTCACCTGCCTTAAGCACTCTCATTTTTATACAGAGGCACACTGTACTTCTTTTTGAATGGATAGAGGACCTTATCTTGTGTGTGAGGCCCTCTGGTGGTCACATGCTGTGCTTGTGATGGGCACTTATACTGTACATAAAGATGTATTTCCCAAACATTCTTTTGGTAAAGTGTCATTCTAGAATAATAGCACTTGCAAAATGACAATTTAGTCTAAATTTGGGAGCAATTCATCTGAAAATTTGAGAATTTGGTTGCCTTTTCTAAACTGGAAAAACGGCACACAGCAACCAGTCAGAAAGCAACCAGTACATCTACAGGAAGAACTTATCAGTGCCTTTCCTGCATGGGACAGATAAAGTGCCTTAGTCATAAACTGTATAAGCGACCCAAATAAAGACTACATGATTCATTTTTCTGAGGAGGGTAGTGGCTTATTTAATCTATGAATTGATTGAATCTATCAAGGCTCAGTAGGGTTTTCAATTCTTTACTTGCAGGAATCAAATTTATATCAATATAATATGATATAAATATAATTTCATTTCAACATTTCCATTGGCAGGGTTTGTACTATGTAATGAAAAACTTGTAAAAGTCATGGAATTTGTGTTTCCAGGCCTGGAAAGGTTTTGGAAAAAAATAAAATCGCAGAAGTTTTGGAAAAGTCATCGACATTCATTGGTCAAAATGTGTATGAACCCTGCATTGGTGATTAATCCAATAAAAGAAATCTGTTCTGGAATAAACCTAAGGCTGTTAGGTTAAACAGGCAGCCACTGTCTGATTCTACAATGGACATGCAATTTAAATGAAAGTGGATTACAATAATCATGTCAGTGAATGGTGCATATAGAATATTTATATGGTCTTTCTTTTTCTCATACAGGATGTGTGGGTACTACGTACCTAGTCAACAAATGACCTTTCTGTCTTCTCGCAATGTCATGCTGGTGACGATGGGTTCAAATGACAAGAACAACTACCCGGGTTTTAGAGCAAAAGTCTCACAAGTCAGAAAAGGAAATAAAGGTAGGGACTAATGCTTGGGTGAGCCGTGATTGACGCTCACTTCAGCCTTTTTGTTGTGAACTGCACCATAAATGTCTAATATCTGTGCAAACACTAACATATTTATGAAACAGGTACAGCCTGCGGTGGCCAGCTGACAGGAGTGACAGGCACCTTCTCTTCTCCCAACTTTCCAACTTACTATCCTCCTCAAATATCATGTCAGTGGTCGATCGAGGTAAGATGTCGGCACCTTATCGGCATGCTACGCATCATATGTTTCACACAGGTTTCTGCTCAGCTTTGCTCCTCATTTATTTAGTTTTTGCTCATTCCTGTCAATTACTAAGGTCCCTGTTGATAAAGTGGTGAAGGTTACATTCCTAAGGTTCGTCTTGGAAAACAGTACGGACTGTCGCAAAGACTATGTGGAGATCAACGGAAAGAAGTGAGTCCAAGCCTGCATCTCTAAAATCAACATAGGAATTACATAAAAGAGCAGACATGTCACTGCTTGTGCTTGTTTCATCCTCAGACTGTGTGGAATTAAGCGGGACAGAACAGTGACGGAAACTAGTAACACCAATACAATGACCGTGAAGTTTTCCTCTGATACCTCCTATGTGGACCGAGGTTTTAGTGCAGAGTTTGAGGCCATTGACAATAACGACCGTAAGTGACTCAGTTTTTCCCAGATTATGATTATTTTTTGACATCAGGCAAGTGTATCTCACATTAAGCCTTTCATCCACAGCTTGTCCACAGCAGTTCCAGTGTAATAATAAGCGCTGCATTAGTACAAAGCTAAAGTGTGATGGCTGGAATGACTGTGGAGACATGAGTGAAGAATTAAACTGCAGTAAGTACTATTTACTCAGATTATACTATATTTCTAAGTAATCTCTACATTATTGTGTAGAAAATGAGTTAAATTGTGTTTTCCTCCAGAGTGCAATTCAACGGATATCAGCTGTAAAAATGGATTTTGTAAACCCATGTTCTGGAAATGTGATGGTGTAAATGACTGTGGAGATGGCACAGATGAGCTGGACTGCGGTAAGACTTGTCGACACTGATGGAGGACGATTTTTACATGAGCATTGAAAGGCTTTCAGTCGGTTTTCTCATACGTGTCGGTTTCTTTTGTTTTCTAAGGTGGATGTAAATCTGGACAAATAACATGTAAGAATAGCAAATGTGTTTCTGAGAAGAATCTCTGTGACGGCAGGGACGACTGTGGGGATGGGTCAGATGAGCTCAACTGTGCGAGAAGTAAGCTTAATTTTCTCCTAATCTGTAAAAATGTCTACAGACATAACTCACTGGTCAAAAAATCAACTAATGCAGCTTTAAAAACATTTGCAGTGCAAAAGTACGATTATCAGTTTGCACATGGGTGAGGAACACTTTAAGTTAAATAAATTATTTTTTGATTGTTCTTCTCTACCTCTCACTATAGGTGAGACAAGCTGCAATGATCTTACATTTAAATGTAAAAACAATAAATGCATTAGTAAAGTGAACCCAGAGTGTGACGGGACAAAGGACTGTGAAGATGGATCTGACGAGGAGAATTGCGGTATGTCACAGTCACCTTACCTTATACATCAGCTATTACACAACTAGTTATTATCTCCATCTGCATTGTTAAACTTGCATGACAGAACACATGTGAACTTCCACACACGTCAGACACCACCACAATCTGCAACAAAGCCGAAAAAGCAGCCCTGTGAGTGAGTGAGTGTGTTTGTTTACTTTGCAGACTGCGGGAGGAGTATGTTCAAGACGTCGCGTATTGTGGGCGGTGAGAAAGCGGATGAAGGGGAGTTTCCCTGGCAGATCAGCCTCCATGCGAAAAGTTATGGTCATGTGTGTGGAGCATCCATCATCAGTCCACGTTGGCTGGTCACTGCTGCCCACTGTGTGCAAGATGACGGCAGGACGAGGTAGCGTCTTACTTTTTGTTTCGCTGGCAAATAGAGACCTTTAGTACGTCTTTAAATCTTTGAATTATTACGATAAAACAACTCATCTGGCAGCTCAGTTGTTTGACTCAACAATTTGCAATGTGCAAACTGAAACCTTAGATCCCTGTGTTTTTACCAACACAATGCATGGTTGTGCGCATGAATAATTTAACACACATGAAACCCCTTCCAGGACCTCGGTGCAAGTTTTAGATGCCTGTTTTAGGCCATGCTTTCTCCTATCTTGATATTTTAGGTCTTAATATGTATGTTTTCTGAAATTATTTAATGATGGGCTTTTTCTATGAGAACAGTAATGATTCCCTTTTTAATAAATTATTTTAAATGTTTAGTATTCCTTTTGATGTTGTCAGTCACCACCCGTTTTGGGCAAGTTACTTTTAATTACATTACATTTAGCTGACGCTTTTATCCAAAGTGATTTACAATTGCTATACATGTCAGAGGTCGCACGTCTCTGGAGCAACTAAGTGTCTTGCTCAGGTACACAGTGGTGGATGTGTCAAAGTGGGGAATTGAACCCAGATCTCTCACACCAAAGGCAGGTGTCTTATCCATTGTGCCATCACCACCCCACCATTTCCAAAATGTAATGCATTGTAGATTACTAGTTACTGTAATGTGAGAGTAATTAGTTATATTACAATATTACTGTCTCTGAATTGTAATGCTTTACACTACTTTTGTGTTACTTTTGAGAATGAACTTTGTTTTGGTGTGTGTCCTCAGATTCTCCCAGCCCGGCACTTGGGAAGCTTTCCTTGGCCTTCACACCCAGGGGAAGATTGGAAGTGCTGTAGTGAAGAGAAACCTGAAGCAGATCATACCCCACCCTAACTACAACCCACACACATTTGACAATGACATCGCCCTGATGGAGCTGGACAGTCCTGTCATCTACTCCGACTACATCAGACCCATCTGCTTGCCGGCTACCCAACATGATTTTCCAAGCGGTAATACTGTGTGGATCACTGGTTGGGGCGCCACTCGCGAAGGAGGTGAGTCCCCACAAACAATAAGGCTTGTATTTGTGTAGTAGTAGTAGTAGTAGTAGTAGTAGTAGTAGTAGTAGTAGTAGTTGTTTATTTTACCAGAAGTCCAGTTGCATCCTGTGGAGGTCAGATGGAATCATCAAAATTGTAATTCCCAAATAAAGACAATTATCTGTGAAAAATAAATATTTTTGCAAACTTGTACTGAATTGTAATACAAATCATCATTAAGACTTTTACACATTCAGATGAGATATACCTTTACAAATCCCCCATAGGGGAAATTCAGTTTGACACAGCAGCGCAGAGGAATATGAAAGAAGACATACAATAAAATTAGACATGATAGACTGTATTTTTCCCGCAGGGAAATTTGTTTTCACAGTACTGTACAGATCAAACAACAATTGACCAGAGTAATAACATACAGTGACAGACAGCAGTGCACTGTCAACCAGTTCTGTGAGGCCTTTTATTTTATAGTGGCTTAAGGTTTCAGGGCATCAGGCTTTTCCCAGTGTGAGCCCTCCTGCATCTTGGTGCTCTGTACCTGTGCCCAGAGGGCAGTAGGGTAAGATGGTGATTGAGTGGGTGTGTGACATTCTTTGCTATTGAGGTTGCAATGCGTGCAATGGTCTTAATGTTTAGTTCACCTAGTCTGGGTGTGGGGAAACCAGTTACCCAGGCAGCAGTGTCGGTTATGTGTGTAAGTTTGGCCCGATTAGTAACGGATAAGATCTTTAAATTTATTGTGAATTCAAATGTGTCAGTCGTTTACATGTGGTGATATGTTGGTTTGGTGCTGATTTTGTGGTTTTGATTGGTGATTATCTATTATATACTACGTTCTAGATTTTATAATTTGCCTTAATATTTTCGTTGTGGTAGCTCCATGTTTGCCTTTAGATAGATGTCATGTGGGCTAATACTCACCATACAACTTTACTGTGGGCCTGCCAGTAATACCAATGATGTTTCTCTGATGAAGGCCTTCTATTACTGAAAGTTTAATGACTGACATTTAGACCTAAACACAAATGTGATGGTGTCCTTTTGTGTGTTTTGTGATTCAGGATCTGCTGCATCAGTGCTCCAAAAGGCGCAGGTACGAATCATCAACCAAACGGTGTGTAACGATTTGATGGCAGGGCAGATCACATCTCGGATGATATGTGCTGGAGTGCTGACCGGAGGAGTGGATGCCTGTCAGGTAATAAAAGGCCCAGTTTGCTTTCTTTCTCTTTCTTTCTCTTTCTCTCTTAAGACAGGTTTTCTCCTAGAATGTTTTACAAAACAAGGGATGTAAATATTTTTATTAATACACAAACAATTACCTGACACAGCCATGAGCCACTTCTGATTGTAATGAAAGAGGAAAGGGTGCAGGAGGAAAACAGAGATACAAGAAAATAAGTGGAAAATAGAAATGATGCCCCATACTGCCCCCATATGTAGTACCTCTATGCTAACAAATGCATCTTTGTGTGTCCTTGTGTATTTCTCTCTGTTAGGGGGACTCTGGTGGTCCTCTGTCCAGTCCGGCTGGCAGTCGTATGTTCCTGGCAGGAGTGGTCAGTTGGGGTGATGGATGTGCCCGCAGAAACAAACCTGGAATCTACACAAGAGTCACCAAATTCCGTGGCTGGATCAAAGAAAAGACAGAAGTGTAGACCACTGCAGATTGGTCAAACACGGCCAAGGATTTGGACATGAACACCGACTGATGACGAGTACCACAGTACAAATCTTGCTTCAGTAAAACACCACACTGACTTTTGAGTTAATGTAATGGCATTGACTCCCTGTCGAAGCTGCAGTGAGAAATTTGAGCAATCTTAACATTTTATGTCCACTGTAATTTTTATGAGTGTGGGGTTCATAAAATGTTTTTAAATGTAAATAAATCTCTTATTTTTGTGGGGGGTTTTGCTGCTGTTATTTTAGCATGTCTTCCTGGAGAAAACTTTTATGTGCCACACAAGAAATAGACTGTAGATGTGATTGGTACACATATGAAATGTGCATTATTGTACTCTGTCTTGTGTTTTATTAGTAGCCATCATAAGAATTTCCCACCGCTTTTCCTTGTTGTGTTTGCTCTCAATTTTATAAATTGAAAACAAAATGACAACAAGCTTATTCCATCCTACCTCCTATGGCTTGGTATCTCCTGCATTTTATTGATTTTTTTTTTTAGTCAAGCAGAAATCCCTGAGAAGTTAGTGATGTAATTATTCACTTTTAAAAGCACAGCTCTTCTCATAATGGATTGCAGTAAATTTAAAGTGATGTGAACTGCTTTTCTATAAGCAATAAACACAGACTAAAATAGTAGGTTTTCTTTAAATTTAATATTTGACGTTTTTCAATTCAGCACAATATTAGGGTCCCTCCAGTGTAATCTGTGTAAATGTGTATTTTTAGTAGATGTTTTTAAATAAAAATATTTCTAATATAACCTCCAATTCTTTGTATTTCTATTTTCATACACTGACATGCATTTCATCTACAATTCTTGGACATGTTTTGCCATTCAGCACAATATTAGATCCCCTCCAGTGTAATCTGTGTAAATGTAACCTTGAATTTTTTACACTTGCACTGACATTTCATCTACAATTCTTGAATGATTTTGCTTTACAACAATAATAATAGTATTCCATTACAACTAATTTAAACTGAATTCCTATTTGAATTGATTAACTACAGTATTTGCATTATGTTTCTTTAAGTCTCCACTTCATCAGAATGTTTTTTTAGATCAGACACTTCAGAGGAGAGACAGGAAGGAGATTTCCACTACCTGTGGTGAACAGCAGAAAAGAGAAATTATGTCATAAAGTTGTGCCCCTTCTGGTTCAGAGGCAAATTATATTGTGTGCTGTTTTAGTTTTGCATGTCTCCATAGTTTTCTGTTTAGTGTCTTAAAAATGCGTCATTTAGGACATTTCACAATGTGAAGGGTAAAATAGGGTGTGCCACTGCTTCCAAAGCAAAATATTTCTCATTTAAATTCTTACATTTCCACAGGAGAGCATTTAAAATTAAAGTTTGTGTCACTGCGCTTGTATAGCGTTATATGGACACTTCCGTTTCTACTTACGGATGATGATTGAAAAAAAGAACAACATTTTTTCTAACATAATTGTTTTTTCAACCCCGGAACAAATACGAATGTCCACTTTTATGCCCCTTATCGGAAGATTTTAAAGAACGGAGCGGAAACGGTACCGTCGTGTTATTGTTCCCCCTTCTCCGCAATATAGTCGTCTGCTTTTTATTCATCTGTTATTCTTGTTCTACAGTCGTAATATATTAAGTTAGTTTATTAAATTTAGAGGAAACCGTCCGGTTTATTAAACTGCTACATTTCTGTAAACCTGTAAAACATGTGGATTTCGTTTGTGAGTAATGATTGATTGGTGGAGGCGAACGAAACTTACAGTAAATATGGATTCAGACAGGAGGAGAGACAGCCGGAGTTGGGACTGGGACAGCCCGCAGTGTCGAGCCCAACTGGACGAGATATTTTTCCGCCAGCATGACTACATCCAGGCTGGCAGCAAAGAGCACAAAGAGTTCTGGGCTTTCTTTGACCGCTTCCAGAGGTTTAAAACAAAGAGGGACATGTCTGGGTCGGGAGCCAGTCGACAAGAGGACAGAGATGAAGGGAAAGACAGGAGAAAGAGTGGCACTGGAAAAGTAGACCTAGGCCTTCCTAAGGAGTATGATGCTCGCTACCGGATTAATGTATCTGTGTGCACCAGGGATATCGAGGAGCGCCTGGGAAAGTCAGAGCACAGAAGCAGACCGAGATCCTCAGGTCCAGGCAGTCAGGAGATCTCGGACTGCCGCCTGGCTCTCCTGCATTTCCTGGACTTCAGCCAGAGACAGAGTTTTATCAAACTGGCCAAGCTTCGCCGGGATCAGAAGAGCTTGCCCATCTTCCAGTACCGAGACAGGATAATGGAGCTGGTGCGACATCACCCTGTAGTTGTGGTCGCAGGTGACACAGGCTGTGGGAAATCCACCCAAGTACCTCAGTATCTTCTTTCAGCTGGCTTCAACAACGTAGCCTGCACTCAGCCTCGACGTATTGCCTGTACATCCCTCGCAAAGAGGGTCAGCTTTGAGAGTCTCAATGAGTACGGATCAAAGGTTTGTCATGGACGATTAAATAGAGGTTTTTACCTGCATCAAAGCACCGGCTACACCATAGACTAGTCAAGCACGTTTAAAAAAATAATAATTTGTTGACCTGTCTATAAACATCCATCCAACACATGAGGCATCTAGAAGTACTCAGTAAAAGACAACTGAACTGAAGAGAGTTTTGTGTTTATCCAAGAGACTTCACATCAGTTCTGTTCACTGGTGGGGAGGCCGAAGCATTTTAACCTGTGTGGGGTTCCCAGTCAGTCATAACAACTAATGAAGCCTCTTGGATGAATTCCAGCAGCTAATAATTATAAAGTGATCAGATCAATCCATAGTTGAGTGACTAGAAATTGTAAATATATTTTGTTGTCATTATAAATTGAATTTGTTGTTTTTGTTTTTGGGCTGGTGGTCAGACTAAACAAATAAGCAGCCAATTAAGACATTTGAATATACCTGAACTCTAGTAATGTGTCTATTAATAGGCTATAGCAAGAATATCACATAGATTATAATATGCGTAAAGTAATAGAAAATAGAAATCGTCATTAGCAGATTTAGTCAAATATATCTTCTTAATATGTTTGCAGCACTGATTTTAAATGCATTAGAGCTCACAATATGCAGTCATGTTCTTCAGGTGGGGTACCAGATCCGCTTTGAGACCACCCGGACCACGGCTACCAAACTGCTGTTCCTGACTGAGGGGCTGCTTCTCCGACAGATCCAGCAGGACAGGACGCTGGCTCAGTATGAAGTGGTGATTGTGGACGAGGTCCATGAGAGACACCTCCACTGTGACTTCCTTCTTGGGGTCCTGCGCTCTCTGGTGGCTGACCGCCCAGACCTACGTCTCATCCTCATGTCAGCCACCATTAACATCAAACTATTCTCTGACTATTTCAGTAGTGCTCCTGTGCTGCAGGTACCAGGCAGGCTGTTTCCTATACAGGTAAGCAGAAGATAGCAGTATTATTTTCCAAGGGTTTCCAATTAGCTGTATTTTCTCAGTTTGAGAATTTGTTAACTTGTTTGAGCCAATGTTTTTTCTTTGTTTCCTGTACTAAGGTGATATACCAGCCCATTCCACCAGAGGAGCAACCCTCACGTTCAGAGAAACTGGATCCGAGACCATACCTGCGCGTCCTGCAGGGCATTGATCAGCGTTACCCTCCAGAAGAGCGCGGCGACCTGCTACTCTTCCTTAGCGGTGTGGCGGAGATCTCCACCATCCAGGAGGCCTGCCAGATTTATGCCACACACACAAAACGCTGGATAGTCTTACCTCTGCACAGCACCCTCTCGCTGGCCCAGCAGGATAAGGCACAGTCCGCTTTGTTTGGATAAGAAGGGACATATAATATTTGAATCTGATATGTTCGCTGTGGTTTATCAATTTTCATTCTCTGTCATCGTGTTTTTCTTCAGGTGTTTGACATTGCTCCTCCTGGGGTGAGAAAGTGTATCATCTCTACCAATATTGCTGAGACCTCAGTTACAATAGATGGGGTGCGCTTTGTTGTAGACTCAGGTATGGAACATTTGTAGCTGGGGATTCTTTTATTTTTAATTGCTGGACCTAACAACGAGTCCATTCTTAAAAACTTAATGTTGTGTGTCCAAACTTTATTCAAAATTAGTTTGGATCCCAAAGGTTCAAAAGATACCAGATCTGTCATGCTGAATTTTTAGGGGAAAGATGTTTTTTTTCTAGCTTTAATTTAAATAGTACAATGATTGTGGTTTTGTTATTTATTCTTTTATAGGAAAGGTAAAGGAAATGAGTTTTGATCCTAAAGCCAAGATGCAACGTCTGCAGGAGTTCTGGATCAGCCGAGCCAGCTCTGAGCAGAGGAAAGGTCGAGCAGGTCGTACAGGTCCGGGAGTGTGTTACCGCCTGTATGCTGAGTCTGACTACGATGCCTTTGCACCTTATCCTGTGCCTGAAATCCACAGAGTAGCCCTGGACTCCCTCGTTCTTCAGGTAAAAACATCCCATAGAAAGCAGGAAAGCAAATCTTATTTTTTTCAATTTCCATAGTTAAATTATACCTTATTTATGCCATTTTGTTCCTGCAGATGAAAAGCATGTGTCTTGGAGATCCAATGTCTTTTGTCTTCATTGATCCACCTCCAGCTGCTAGTATCCAGACCGCAGTTACTTATCTGAAAGAGCAGGGAGCGCTAGACAGGCGCGGTGAACTGACCTCAATTGGTAGTTTGCTGGCACAACTGCCCGTTGATGTGGTCATAGGTAAGATTCCCTTCACCAAACCCATATCATATCATTTGTTTATTTTTTGGTTTCTTAACCATTTTTATAAGCTGACAACAAAATATAATACTGTGTTAAATGGTTGAATAGAGTTTAAGTAGCATACTTTCACTTGAAGTAATTATACAAAATATCACAATTAATTTTTATTAAAGTTTAAAAGTGCAACACATCCAGTAGCAGTTAGAGTTAGGTAAGTGTTTCTGTGTTTGTGTTCCTTTAGGGAAGATGCTGGTGCTGGGCTCTTTATTTAACCTGGTGGAGCCTGTGTTGACAGTGGCAGCAGCCCTCAGTGTTCAGTCACCTTTCCTGCGCAGCTCCCAGCACAACCCAGACTGTGCCACTGCCCGGCAGCCCCTGCACAGCAACCAGGGAGACCCCTTCACCCTGCTCAACACCTTCAATGCCTGGGTGGAGGTCAGTAAGAAAAACATTATGTGACTGTGGCTATGTAATATAAACAGATTCAACACTGTAACATTTGGGCTGTAAGATGGTCTTCATTGTACATAAACTTGTTCATCTTTGAGCTCGGTACCGACACTCTGCATAATGACAATAAAGTTGAATCTAATCTAACCTAATCTAAAACAGATGAAGGGAGAGAGAGGTAGTGGCTCAAGGAAGTGGTGCAGAAGGAGAGGCCTGGAGGAGCAGCGACTATATGAAATGGTCAACCTACGCAGACAGTTTAAGGCAGGTTACTGACAGTAGTTCACACATTAAAAAAAGTTTTTTTATGTGTCAACAAAAATTTCACAATATGAGCTTCCTCTCCGGTTAACAGGACTTGCTGAGGAGCCACGGCCTGCTGGAATCAGAGTACAGTGCTCCCTCTGATAGTGACCGCAGGCAGCGTAGGGAGAGGCTGACGGAGAGGAGGAAGCTGCATCAGCTGAAGAGAGATCATGAGCAGCAGGAGGGCAGCAGGCGTAAAGTCCTGAGGCTGGACGAGGACCAGGATGGAGAGTTCTCATCAGGATCAGACACAGAGCAAGCAGGCAGAGGCAAGAAGGACAAGGAGCGATCAGG